AACGAAAGCGCCATTCTCGAGATAGTGCAATCTCAAGAAAACAGTGCCATGTTCCATACATACCAAAAGAATCGACTTTTCTTGAAAACTTAATATTTCGAGAACAGTGCATTCGTTTTGGCTTAACCTTTCAGGCTAATATACGGGCCACAAGACCTATACGTGGACAAAATTTCAGGTCGAAACTCCTTAATTTGATTTTTCGGTAAATATCTTATCATAGGTGATAAACCCAGTAAAATGACCATAACTTGAGAAGAATGGGCCCTTGTCCTTTTGGACTTTTTCTAGTCTGATTGGACTCTACTTATGGGCAAAATATCGGCTTAAAAGCTTTGAATCACTTCGGGCGGTTCCCTCGTCAGTTATAATATATTTAAGCGCTACCATCAGTAGTGTAACATGGAAAATCACTATTCGTATAAGTTTATTTTTGTACAATCAATGAAAACTCAAATGTGTAAATTGGAACGTATAGAAGTGCTAGCACGTTTTATATGAAAAACGAAGAATACACGAGCTCCAAATATGAGAATGGGAAATCTCCCTAAGCCTTCTAACTCTGGTTTTCTAGGCTAAAAAACTTATTGTTAGAGTAAATTTTGATTTAATCAGTTTATCGAGTTTCTTAAATTGTGTGAAAAATAGTAAATTTATCTGCTTCAAACCGGTAGTCTGTTGGGGAAAACTATAGTGATTTTAATGCATACAGAAAATAAATATGAACACTTCAATGTGAAATTCCTCAAGATAATACTATTTTACTTAAAGTTTATTTTCGAAAATCCAGGTCAATGATTCCGGGCTCCGGAATAATGAATCTAAGTTTCACGATTTTTCGTGTTTCCTTGCTGGCACTGGCCTTTTTTTTTCTGGGCCCGGAGGAAAACAAAAATGATTACTATCTCATAGAAAACGCAACATTCCCTGTAATATAAGCAAAAGATACATCGGCTAAACCGTTGTATTAGTTCTTTATTTAAATAAGCATTCAAATAAATGCATGTTAATTGTTAGAATACGAAACTCTAAAATCATCTTTTGGAGTTAACTAATCTTTTAGAATTTAAACTCGATTTATAATGTATGATGTCATTTGTTATAGCTCTCTTTTGAATTGAGTTAGTCAGAAGACTCTTCCTATACCATTTCTCATTTAATAAAATCATGAAATTTAATAATTAATTAAATAAAATATTTCTTTTTAATTTTTTTTTGTTAGTCGTTAAAATTGATCCTAACGATATTAGTATACATTCAAAACGTATTGAACATGTTGAAAAGCATGGAACACGAAAACTTTATTTGAACAGTTTACAATCACTTCTTATGGCTTTACATCCGTCAGAAAATCCAGAACAAAAATCATTATATTTAGAAAAATATCGAATTCTTATACAAGTAAATATCAAAAATATTTTAAATTATTTTAAAAGAAAAAATTTTTCTTTTATAGGCAATTCTTGCATCTGAACGAAAAGATAATGAATTACAAACACTTTTCTACAAAGGTCTTAGGGATTTGGGCACAGATTTTCCTTCTGAATGTTAGGTTTGATTAAGAAATGAAATGAATATTAATAAGAAAAAAAATTTCCTTTTTAGATATTGAACGTCTTTTGCAAATGCAATACAATTCTAAATTATATCCTGAATTACTTAAAGTATGATGAAAGATAATTATAAAATAAAATTTCTTGAACTTTTTGTATTATTATCTTTTAGAATTTGATTAATTTCACGGGTGTTCGTCTATCAAAATTCAATACTGAATTAGAATTACCTATTGATACAACAGATTTAGATGATCTTAAAGATGCAGAGTAAGTTTGAAATTCATAGAACTCGTAAGTTCTAGTATATCTTTTGTAAGATTTTTTTGCCTGTGACTATAAAAGTCAACGTACGAAACAAGATATTGAATCAAGTGTTTAACCCTTTGAGGCCCAGTGGGATATATATTTCCCACCATGAGAATTTTGAAATCTTCGAGTTTTCGAGAATCTTGGAGAAATATTTTCAATATATGTTAGAAGCTAGCAGAGGTCCGTACAAGATTGATTGGATAATAGAGTGTATAGATGACATTGAA